GTTTTAATAATAAGTCTGTCCGATTTTAATGGAGACAAACCGAGGGCATCTTTTAACCGCTTTGAAATATAAGTTTTCTGAGACCCACTGTCAAATAGAATTCGTGCACTCACGATCTTTTCAGGACTTCTAGGATTACACACAGGAGCTGTGGCAGTTTGCAATAAAATTCCCTCCTCTGTGTCTGAGAATACAGTTGCTGTAGGATTGGATTTGGGTGAATCTGGGAGACCTGGTGGAGACTGTGAAGAATCATTCTTCTTTGGGAAATTTGATGGATGGGCCCTCCTTGGACATATACTGATATGATGCCTGTATCCACAAACATAACATTTTGTGGTTGACTGGCATTGATAACTGATGTGTCCTGCCCTTAAACAATTGTAACATTTACCTTTGCTCTTGAGAACTTCTCTTCTGGCCTGCACGTCAGTTATCGCATGACATTGAGCACTAGGATGACTACCGCGACAGTACGTACATGTTATGCCACTCCCCTTTCTCTCATACTGACCTTGAGCTAGTAATGTCTCTGCCGTAGTTGGATACCTTCGACCACCTCCACCTTTCCCTTTATCATCATTCTTTGAAGCTGTCACAAATTCGCACATCTCTCTAGCTTCCAGTTCCTCCTTGAAAGCATTCTGTAATGCATCTAAATCCCACTTTTCCTTTCCCAATTTCCTTGTTATTATCAGTTGCAATTCTTGAGGGATTTTATTCATCAAAATAGGAACAAGTAACTTTCCATACTGCTTACTGCTAATTCCGACTGCTTTCAAACCACGTACATGTTGTTCTACTTCATCATATATTCCTCTTAATTTCTTTGTATCTGAATTTGTATTAGCTCCTGACAATTTAAGTAGGGCATCCATGTGGGCCGATATAACTACTTCTTCACAACCGAATCGTTCTTTCAGTGTATCTACTGCAGTTTTATAATTTGCACTTGTAAGCGAAAGGCCAGCTACAGCCGAATAAGCTGGTCCCTCCAGTAAACTAACCAAATAACTCATTTTACTCACATTCGATACATCCTCATTATTATGAATTGTGGTTTCAAATGAATCCCAGAATGCTTGAAATTTGATTGGATCTTCTTTAAAATGTTTTAAATTCAGCTTTGGTAGGCGAACATTTTGCTTGCCATCAGAATATGAGCTGTTAACCACAGAACTTGAACTCAAAGAGCCATTTGGATCATGCCCCCCATTATGTTTGACTTTATGTTCCTGCAAACATAAATCTATTTGCGATATTGCTTCATGAATAGAACTTCGAAATTCGCTTGATTCGTTTATTTCCGCTTCGATATCCTTTTCCTCGTCTACAGTTTCGATTATTGAATTATCCAGTTTATCTAAGATAGTAAGTTTCTCCGATAAATCTCGTTTCAAACCCTCCAACTTTATCTCTCCAGGTTTTGTTCCATCATAGTTGTTACAGACTTCTCCAGCTTTGTGTATGAGCTTTCTTGTGTAAGATCGGTGCGCTGTTCTCGATTTTTTCTCTTTTGTTTGTTGACTCATCTTTTCTTTGATAGAATTATTCGACTCGATGGACCATGTAACGAATTTTGAATGAATATCACATCTATATTTGAATACAACTGTTCTTTTTTTGAATTTTACAAACCTTTCTCTTAGAGTCACGCCATGTTCAATTATCTACGCATGCGCGAACTAATGTCAACTACGCGTGCGCCAACTAATGTCCTATAAACTAGCATAATTTATCTCTGAAGTTCGTACATTGACATAATTGCTACAAATCATCCTGATAAAGTAAAGGAAAGTGGCGTGTTCCATTTAGGCATTAGCGATTACAGTCTTGTATATATGTGCCTAAAAAATATCGTTACCTCGCGAAAAACCCAAGATTGTAGAAAGTAGAAATTTAAAAAACTATAATATTAATGACTTCAACAACCACATTTCTCATTTATTGAGTAATGCGGCTTGGAATCATAAAGATCCAGACAAATCATGGGACCAATTATAATAACTTACTGACCGAGAGTGAGGGCAGTACGGGAAAATATCCAACCGAGGTCTTGCTGTATTGACCGAGCGATAGCGAGGTCAATACAGCAAGACTGAGGTTGGATATTTTACCGTATTGCCCAAACGGTTGAGGTCAGTAAGTTTTTTATTATATGGCATTGTACGTTTGTGAAAAATGGGGAAAAAATGTCACGCGAGGGCAAATTACAAAGTCCGAAACATTTGTAAAAAAGAACAATTGTAAAAAATGTTCTCAAGCTTGGTTTGTAAAACTACTCTACAGCACTTTTTATATCGAATAGTATTTCAAAAATTGGATAGTATTTCAAAAAAAATACGAGGTATTTCGTCATTTAATCAAAGACAAAGACAACAAATATGAAAACAATAAAATTAATAAACAGTATGGACAAGTACGTTTTTAGTTCGCTTCATCTCATAAATATGTCTCTTTTTATCGAAAACCCCCAGAAATTTTCAGGAAAAAAATATAAATCTGTGGCTGCTTTAGTTGTATTTTTTATTTAGGATGGTGTCAAATTCCTCGGCTAACTGCAAATAAGATTTGCAGCTCTTCACAAAGTCAAAACACAGCTATTCCTGACTTATTTAATAGTTATAAACATTGTAAAATTTACCTTGTAATTTCGACTTTCGCTAACAAAAACATATTGAGAAAGTTCTTTAACCAAAGACGGTGCTCTTTTTCTTTAGTTTAGGTTTATTTTTCTTCGTTTTGAATAGTTTTGAAAGACTTTTAGACACTTTTTGCCGTTTGAAACTCTGCTCTTGTCGTAGGGCAACAAAAATTGCGTATTGCCCGTGGGCAATACGGGAAAATCCTGCCTCGTCAGCAGCCAATCAAATTGCGCGATTCATCAAAACAAATGCTTGCCATAT